ACCATCTCAATTGGATAGCTCGAAACCACTCCGAAACAAATGTTTTTTAAGGGATGGAAATATCCAGTTAGAATAGTAAATGAATCATTGGATTATGGATTGAAAACTTAACTTATTCCCTTTCTTGTCACATGTTTGTTATATACTAAAGACATGGTATTGTACCAAAGACTTGTAATGATATTAACAAAACATAAATGAATCATTTTTTTGATTCGGCAGCATATATTAATTCACAAAAGATGCTATTTCATTCTAAAAACCGAGAAATAACAAAATTTTTTTTAGGATATATCCAAATTTTTGAGTACGGGTCAAAAATGACTCAGGCTGGTAATACTAGGGTTAAACACATTTATTCGTACTCAGCTCAACTAACGCTATCCAACCATATGTAAGTATCGCGATAACAAAGTTTTGCTCCACCTTTGAATTTGCAACACCTTATTTTTATCGAATGTTCATCTATTAATATAGACAAGGAAAAGAGTAATTATCTAGTATTCTGTCAACTTCGTGAATCATTAAGCAGGAAGACCCTTTTCCACTTTTTATATTAGTTTGAAGTATGCAATCTGTACACTACAATGCCCTATTTTGTAGAAAACGAGCTCATTTAGTTTTTGAGATATGTGGCTGTCGATATCGCAGATTATCGTTTCAAAATGGACGCTTTGTCGCATATTCAGCGAGTTGATGAAGTTTTCTGGATCTTCATGGCTTTTCGGCTTTTGTTTCAGCTCATTCTAGTTCGTGTAGGTCCAGGTTTTGTTTATTGGATAATTAATCAAAGAAATTCGGTGAAGAAAATACAATGGTAGTAGTAGCAGTATTTCTAATCACAAGTCGTGATTCATGACAATATTTGTGCCTCCAATGAACTAATATTTCAATGATATCTTGCAGATGTTTTGACAAAAGGTATCATCTACTCGATGGACTATATCTTGCTTCTCTCCTACACTGAGAATTTCTATTGATAAAAAAAGGGGTTGACCCCGACGTGATTCGAACACGCAACCTTCTGATCTGGAGTCAGACGCGCTACCGTTGCGCCACGGAGTCGACACAGTAGTATTGCTACGATCATTCACTCAAAAACTCAAAAAACAAAATGTCTATTGTAATCATGTATGTGGTCCAACCTCAACGTTTTACTTGTAGTCTGTAGTTTTATGATTTGCTTAGATGCATTACTTGCACTTAGATGCTTTAAGACTTTGAACAATTTTAATAAACATACAGTAGGTACGCGGTGTAATACAGTTCTCCCTAGTTCAGCTAAAAAATGTCCAAAGTGTCCGATGCTGAAAATACAGATTTAGCATTAATTTATGGTGCGGATTATCGTTCGTTATTATTATCTGTTATTGAATACTTATCAAGTGATATTCGGAATATAAACAAGTAATTATGAGTGAAAATAGAGATATATTCAGCGACATTCCTTTTGGAAGTACATATCAAGATTTATTGAAAACATCTATCTCAAAATTTGCTTAGTTTAATCTTTCATCTCAATGGTATTGGTTTATGCAAATCGACAAAGTTAAAAATGTGACGATTAAGTAGTTCTATTATAGAATTATCACCTCGATTCCGTTATCGACGGCATAGTATGCCGCTAGTATCGATCTGGATTTGGCCATAAGATCCAATGGTCCATATGTAACTGGACAACTGTTTCGCACTGCTTCTAGATTTGAAAAAGCATCCAATTTATTTGAGTCCCGCGACGTTTCTTCATGTAAAATACTACCCATGAGGTTTGTTTTGTATAAAATATCTCAATTAGAGGCGATACTTTTACCTAAACAATGAAATATCGTATAGATTACAGCAAGGTTTTTCCTTCGCACACCGTAGAGGAAAGTTTTTCAAACTAATCATCCTTTGCTTTCGCAGACTTGGTTTAGGCTGTTTCTTGAAACAGTAAGACAGCGAGAATATAAATTCCCATTAAATAAACGGTTGCACAAAGCTAGAATCAAATACACTGACTTCATATTTTCTTCTTCTTCGTCTGTAACCATATAATGTTTTTTGGACGGTAATTGTTTTGATCCCGTAAAAAATGCAGAATGGAGCCCGTATACTAAAATTTCGATAAAATAGTAGAAATGATCCCGGATTTAGAAAAAAAATATTTTCGACAGAATTGATCCCGGAATAAACTAATTTTTATATTTATTGTGCGAAATTGATCCCGGAAAACTTTTTTCTTTCTGCGAACAAGAGAATTGATCCCGGTTGACGTGTGTAGTGGTCACATAAGATTCTCTTTCCCAAAGCTCTTCGCTGATTTCTATATACATTTTAACACTCTTACGTTTTATTACAAATAAATGCAGTCTCCGATACTTCAATCTTTCGATAACGCTAATTTAACTTTCTTCGGTCGACTTCGTCCTTTACGCTTCCCTATTTGTTGTGGTATAGCTCGAATACCCCAAAACATCATTAAACCAATGGCATGAACACAAGCGTATTCTTTCATTTCGTATTTACATGTACAGAACCATGGTGGCAATAAACGTGTACAATTTAATAATCGTGCTGATCTTAGCCAGTCCTTCAGATCATCATACGTTGTCCAATTCATTTGATTGAACATCACAATCCATTGTTGAACATTCATCTTTGGCTCTTTCGCAGGAACAACGCACATACCATAATCAATTGGAGTTATTTGCGATTTATCAACTTTCTGTGACCATGCGAAAGCTTCCTTTTCTAAATCTTCTTTATATGTAATATGATATGCAAATGGTGTTTTCTCGTTATCGAACGACCAATCTTTTAACATTCTTTCAGCAGTTTGTAAAAATGCTGACAATGGCAAACGATGTCTCATTGTATATTGTTGTTTTATTTTCCCATTCAAGGATTCTAAACCATTGTTTGTTGATGGTGTGAACATAGTAGCTCCTTCATAAAAGAATGGCAATGACAATAACCATTGAGACTCAAAATATGATTTAAATTCATTTAGTTCACTATCCAATGACCATTTTTCAATCATAAGACGAGTAGCTATACGGAATATCGTATCATCAAATATTAATTGTAAATCAAGAATATCTTGTTCGACAGATATCCATTTATTTTTATTTTTCACTAATTTTCTATGTTCTCTGCACTTGCGAATCACGTGAGCCCAGCACATTAAACGACGAGCTAGTGGTAATTCCAACATAGCGCTTGTTAAACCTGCAGCGCCATCCACCATAACGTGCGATATTGTATATTGTTGGTTATTCACCATTGACGCCCAATTCTGAAGAAGATATGTGTAATAATATTTTGAATGCATCAGCCGATTCATCTGTTGAAACTAAACATATCCCAATTGGGAAAAAATGACGATTTAAATCCGATGTACCAAATACAAGCAATGGCAAATTATTCGATGTAATTTTGTATGTCCCATCAACAGCTACTATCCATTTCAAAAAAGAAGAAGCACGGCCATTTCTTTGATAACTTTTTCTAAGAAGCAGCTAAAAAGGTGCGGTTTTCAGTATCGGAAAGCGAAATGTTGGGGTAATATGAAAAACTAAA